GGATCTTCCTGGATCAGGGATCACACCCATGGGTCCTGCATTGGCAGGTGGATTCTTTACCACTGAGCCACCGGGGAGGCCCCTTAGCTGCATACGGTCTTGATGAGGAGGCTCATGACAATGATGCTTGTTTTCTGGGTCTCTCCTGGTGATCACACTGGCTGGACAGGTGGCTTTCCAGGTGAGTGAGGTGAAAATGAGCTGTGCTGATTAAGGCACATCCTCCATAACCGGTAGTATGTATCTCCCCATTAATTCATGTTCTTGTTTCCCAAAACTGTGGCCCAAATACTAAACAGTATTATCCTTTATTGTGATTTGGCTTGGCTTTCTCACAAGGAGGATATATTTAAGGGAATATATCCTCCTTAAGTAATCAATTTTTAAAGGCAGCGAAGCACCAGCGCTATACTTTACTTGTAGGAGAAGGAATAAGGGCCCATCCTGCGTGCTATACTGCAGCCTGCTGTTCAGTAGCTGGTGGCGCCTGCGTGGCGCTTTCTCTGGCTGGTCTACGGTGGGCGTAAGCAGCTCGGGACGCCAGGTTTTCAGGGAGCCCCTTGGTCCAGGGTCCAGTGGCTTCTGTCCTGCTGATGTCTTCAGTTCACAGCCTCTTCCTTAAAGGGAGCATCTGCATTTATCTTGGAAATCGGTAGACTTTAGTTCTTTTCTTCTCTCCGTATAGAATTTGAATAAATATGAAGAGCAAGGTAAACTTTTAAACTTTGCTCACCAGATTGTTGGGTCTAATCAGGAGAACTTTAAAAGATTTCTTAAACATTTTATCATGAATTTAATTAGTGTGAAAATTAAAAATAATATAAATGTATAACTTTAATTTTCTGTTGTCATCCAATCTCTAGTGCATAGTCCCTATTAATATAGCACCTATTACTCCAACATTTTTCTATACAGAATATGTAAATATCAGCACTTATTTGCACATATGTAAATAAAATCATAGCATAAGAGAACATTTTTTTGGCTGTGCTGGGCCTTCACTTTTGTGCACGGGCTCTCTCGAGGTGTGGTGCGTGGGCTTCTCGTTGCTGTGGCTTCTCTTGCTGCTGAGCATGGGCTCGAGAGCATGCGGCTTCCGTAGCTGTGGTACTCAGGCCCAGGTACCCTGAGGCATGCAGACTGTTCCCAGATAAGGGATGAAACCGAGTCCCCTAACCACTGAACCATCAGGGAAGGCCTATAAATTTATTTTTTAACTGAATACCATGTCATAGATATCTTCCTTGGTCCACACAAAATTCATTCTTGTTCAAGGCTGCCTGGCCTCCATTTTACAAGTGAAATCTGATTTACTGCATCAACTTCCTTGAGTAGAACATTTGAGCCAGGTCTGAATGTTGGCCTGGCCACTCAGTTCCTCTGGACTTGTTCTGGAATGATTTTGGCATATGGTGCAGGGGTGGTTACTCATTAATTCAACTTTTTAAACAATTGACAAACAGTTTGCCTTTAAACACTTAGACCTATTAATTTTCCTATTAATCTTTGCCATAGACAGTTTATTCCTAATTCTGTGTATCAGGAAGAGGAGGAGCTCTTTGTTCCTAAAACCTAATTAAATGCCTGATTCATTTGTCAGATTAGGAGGCGGTTTCTCTGGTCAAAAAAAAAATACAGAAACTAACAAGGACCAGTTGGCCAGTTTCCACCTGTGTCAGCATCTGAAAAACTTGGGCTTACTATTTTTGTTTTTCGGTTTTGCTGTTTCTTGAGCCAAAGTAACTGAAAGGCTCAAAATGGAGGTTCCTGAGGTCCCTATTAAAGCGTTTCCCAGGTGGCTCAGATGGTAAAGAATCTGCCTGAAATGCAAGAGATCTGAGTTTGATCCCCAGGTCTGGAATATTCCCTGGAGAAGGAAATGTCAACCCTCTCCAGTATTCTTGCCTGGAGAATCTCATGGAGAGAGGAGCCTGGCAGGCTATAGTCTATGGGGCCAGCAAGAGTTGGACACAACTGAGCGACTAACACACTTCACTTTTCTTCTATGTGTTTAGAAGCTTTTGTTTGTTGCTGTTGTTTAGTTGCTAAGTCATGTCTTTTGTGACCCCTTGGACTGTAGCCCACCTGGCTTCTCTGTCCATGGGATTCTCTAGGCAAGAATACTGAAGTCGGTTGCCATTTCCTTCTCCAGGGGATCGTCCCAACCCAGAGATCAAATACATGTCTCCTGCATTGCACACAGATTCTTTACCACTGACCACCAGGGAGGCCAAACCACCCAAGCAACAACATTTCTATGAGAACATTTTAACAAGGCTCACCTCCTTGTTCACATAATTATTAGTCGTTCACTTACTCATTCAACAAACATTTATTGGCCAATTGCTGGGTGTCAGGCCTTATCCTGGGTACAGGGAATACTGAGATGAAGAAAGCACTTACTTCCTACCCTCCAAGGGCTGACCTGAAACTTAACCTCTGTTTCCTTCCTGGGAGAGAGAGAAAGCGAATGTGGCAAAATGTTAGTAATTGGTGAATTTAGTAGAGGGTGCATAGATATTAATTATACTTGTCTTTCAAACTTTCTATGAAAAACCTCCCAGTTTTTCAGTGTGGATCCTATTGGATTATCCCCAGCCACTTAGCGAAGATTTAGGAGAGGAATGGTAATAGGATATTCTGGGGATATGTGTGCATGTACTAAATTGCTTTGATCGTGCCCAATTCTTTGCAACCCCATGGACCCCATGAGCCACCAGGCTCTTCTGTCCATGGGATTCTCTAGGCAAGAATACTGCAATGGGTTGCCGTTTCCTACTTCCTACTCCAGGTTATCTTCCGGACCAAGGGATAGAACCTGAATCTCCTGTCTCCTGCATCGCAAGCAGATTCTTTACCCACTGAGCCGTTGGGGAAGCCCATATTCTGGGGATAGGAGAGGACGAATGAGAAGTCTGGATAAGTAACAGATGTGGTTACCTGGAGCCACACAGCAGGAGCCCTGAGGCAACTGGGCACCCAACAAGGAAAGGGGTTAAATAGGAAGGAAGTGGAGGTGGAAACCCAGGCATGGGCTCCAAGCCCGAATCCTGCCCTACCCCCTCTCTAGCCAGACCTGACCGTTCTGTGTGTGTGTGGTTGGTGGGGAGAGGAGGCTGGTACAGGTCTGTCACATTCTGTGCCCTCCACTGGCAACCACTGACCTTTGACTTGAGCATAGAGGTTAAATATTTGAGCTTTGGAGTTGGCAACCTTTGTGAGAATCTCAGCCTTGCAGGGTGAACTTGGACCAGCTAGTGAATCCTGTTACAGCCTGGATAGACTTGCAGGGGGTTATGTGATGCTTTGAAGATACGGCTGTGTGTGAAGCAGTTAGCACAGGGCCTGTGCATGGCACCTAATTAATAAATGTACCATGACATGTACCATCCTAGCCAGTGATCAGCTGTTCATCTGCACACTCACGCAGACGTCTCTGCTTGATGCCTCTTTGCCTCGCCCACCCCACAGATGTAATCAGCAGGTTCTGTCCTCTGCTCCCACACACATCCTAAGTCAGACCCCCTCACTCTCTCCAAGGCTGTCTCCAGTTTTAGCTGCTGCAGCAGTTGCCTGACTGTTCTTCCTGCCTGCACACTGGCTCCCTCACCCCCAGACGTTCTCCATGGTGGGCTTTCTCAAGCTCAGTGGAGAACGTCACCTTTCTTCTCAGCCTTCTTATGGCTTCCCATCACCCCGACTCTCACATCATGACCCAAGTCCCGCCCAGCCCTCCAGCCTCGCCTCCTGACCACCCCACCCCCACCCCCAGCGCTCTACATTCTGACCTCCCTTCTGTCCCTGCCATGCCGGTTCACTCTCACTTCAGTCTTTCAGTTGCCCTCTCTGCCTGAAACACATGTCTTCACATGATTGCCTCCTTTTCCTCTCTGTCCTTTGGGTCCAGTTCATTTCTATAGAGAAGTTCTCTCTGGCCATCCTGTCTAATGTTGTGTACCACCTCCATCCCCACCTACCTGTTTCATTATCTTTAAAGCATTTATAAAGTGATCTTGTGTGTTTATTTAACTCTTGTATGTCTCCCTTATACAATGGAAGCTCTAGGAAACAGAGTGATAACCTTGTGTTTTGTTCAGTGTTCTAGCTTGGGATGCCATAACAAAATATGGCAGACTGGGGAGTTTAAGCAACACAGATTTATTTTCACAGTTTGGAGGCTATGAAGTCTCAGATCAAGGTTTTGGCAGGGTTTGGTTTCCAAGGAGAGCTCTCTTCCTGGCTTGCAGACATCTGCCTTCTCACCGTGACCTCAAATGGTCCTTTCTCCATATGAGAGAGAGACTGTTCTTATAAAGACACTAATCCCTGAGGACTTTCCTGGTGGTCTAGTGGTTAAGATTCCACACTTTCAATATAGGGGGTGTGAGTTTGATCCCTAGTAGAGGGACTGAGATTCCATATATCATGTGGCATGGCAAGAAAAACCCCAAAAAGCCAAACCACTAATCCTCCTGGAGCAGGGCCCCACACTTATGACCTCATTTAACCCTAATTACCTCCTTAGAGACACCACTTCCAAATATAGCCACCTGGGTGGGGCGGGGAAGGGCTTCAACATAGAAATTAGGGGGAAGGGGACTATAAACATTCAGTCCATAATATTCACCTCTGTAGTGTCAGCATTAGAACTCAGAAGACAGCCTAACATGTAATGTGTGCTAAGTCCCTTCAGCTGTGTCCAACTCTTTGTGACACTATGGACTGTATGTAGCCCACCAGGCTCCTCTGTCCATGGGACTCTCCAGGCAAGAATACTAGAGTGGGTTGCCATACCCTCCTCCAGGGGATCTTCCCAATCCAGGGATCGAACCCATGTCTCTTATGTCTCCTGCACTGGCAGGCAGGTTCTTTACCACGAGTGCCACCTGGGCAGCCCTGACACGGAACAGGCACTCAGTAAATCCTTGAACAGATGCAGGATGAAGCTGACTTCCCTGCGAGCCGTGTAAGTGGCCCACCTCTAGCGCTCCATCCTGCAGGTCAGGGCGTATCTCTGTACATTCCCCAGCCAGCCATCAATGCCACGGTGGAAGAGGACATCCTGCTCTCGGTGGACTACTCCTGCGACGGGGTCCCCACCATCGAATGGAAGTACACGTCCAGCTGGGGAGTGCAGAAGATCGTGGAGTGGAAGCCGGGGACTCAGGCCAACATCTCCCAGAGCCACAAGGACAGGGTGTGCACCTTCGACAATGGCTCCATCCAGCTCTTCAGCGTGGGCGTGCGGGACTCCGGCTCCTACATCGTCACGGTGACCGAGCGCCTGGGGAGCAGCCAGTTTGGCACCATCGTGCTGCACGTCTCAGGTGAGACGCCCCCAGGGCCCCCCGGGCCTCTAGAAAATTGGAGTGTGTGGGAGGACAACTTGATATTCAGGGATGTTATCTACACCCCCCCCCACCCCTGTAGAGATCCTCTATGAAGACCTGCACTTTGTCGCTGTCTTCCTTGCTTTTCTCGTTGCTGTGGCCGCACTGCTGATCAGCCTCATGTGGGTTTGTAATAAGTGTGCCTATAAATTCCAAAGGAAGAGAAGACACAAGCTCAAAGGTAATTCCCCGGGACCGTCACCTTCTTCTCCCCAGGAAAGCACCCCCGCTGAGTGGCAACTCACAGTCAATGTGTCTTTTGCTTTGCAGAAAGCACAACGGAGGAGATTGAGCTGCAGGACATAGAGTGTTAGCCAAGGCCAGACCCAGTGACATTCCTACCTCAAGAGGAAGACATGATTTTCCCATGAAAGGAAGACACGCGGCCAGTCCCGCCCAAGCCTCTTGTTCTGCCCTAGCCACCTATTGCTGCATGCTGACGAAGCTGACTGCCTGGAGCTGGACTCTGGATTGGACCACGTCAGTCCCAGTGGCGTGGATGTCAGCGAGGAGGAGGGTGGTGCTGTGGGCCGGCGCTGTGCCCGGCCGTGGGGCCGCAGCAGCCCAGTGCCCCATCTGCTTCCTCACTGCACTCTGCTCCGGCGGGGCGGGGGGCGGTGGCGGGGTCCCCATGCCTGTGTGCCCTGTGCTCAGGCATGTCTGAGTCTGTGACCCCGTGGACTGTAGCCTACCATGCTCCTCTGCCCATGGGATTCTCCAGGCAAGAACACTGGACAGGTTTGCCATTTCCTCCTCCAGGGGGTCTTCCCAACCCAGGGGTCGAACCCAGGTCTCCTGTGGCTCCTTGCCTTGGGGGTGGGTCCTCTACCTCCTGAGCCATCGGGAAGCCCCATAGCAGAGGCGGGAGTGTTTCCAGACCAAGCGTGCAGTGCTGTAACACGCTCTCTGTGCCCTGGTCTTCTCTGCCTGTGGCCGCTTCCAGCTTCTCCCGTGGGGACTGCTGTGAGCACCTCTCAGAGCAGGGAGGGCACCCCCCTCTTCCCTGTGGCTTGGAGCTTTAGGGAGAAGAGCTAAATTTGTTCTGGGGGACCACCACTGGGAACAAGGGACAGGGAGAGAACTGCCTTTCTTTTCCTCTCTCATTCCAGCGTTAATTAGACTTTCCCTCCTGAGGCCCCAGGGGAGGCCACTGTGAGGAGAGCAACTCATCTCCACGCGGGCAGCCCCCTGACAAGCTGGGGATGCCGCCTGTGTGAAGGCTGCGGCCGCCGGATGGGCAGGAAAGTCAGCGTGGGCTTTGAACCTGCCCCCTCAGTCACTCAGGCTTCCCGGCACGCCAGGGCCTCGCTGGCTCCCAGCGGGCTGGGGAACACCTGGCCCTCAGCTACCTCACCCTCAGAGTATCAAGGGAAGCCCACAGTAGCACAGAGCACTCCGAGCAATTAAAGGAAGCTGTGAAGACTCTCCCAGAGCCTAGGATGCAACAAGCGCTATGGCGGGTCCTGGATAAGTCAAGCGCCCTGGAGTACCGGGGCCCCAGGTGCCCCTGGGGATGGGTCACAGCTGGCCCTGGTCCTTAGCCTCCAAAGTCACTGGCCACCGTGGGTACCTCTATCTCTCCATGCCAGCCTCCTTTCAGCAAGCTCTAAAGCAGGCCTGAATTTATCTTCCGTTCTCCTTTTCCTCTCCAACACTCTTAGCTACAAATCAAAGGTACCACTCCATTTATTGGTGGAATTTGACCTTATTGCCTGTGTCCCCAGCCCTCACTGCAGATTCACCCATGCACACACAAAGGAGACCTAGAACATTGTCTTCTCCCTTCCTCCAAGTCCCCAGTGTCCACATCGCTTCCAGAAAGTTGCCTGGAGACATTAGTATGAGGCTTTTGCCTACACACTGTCTCCAGGGTTACAGGAAGGAATCTCTTGGGGTTACAGGAGCCATCATCTATCCAAAGGCATTACTTGATTCAGAATGCCAGAGAGCAGCTAATCTGCATGACTGGCTTGTAGCCCAAGCGCCTGACAGACACGGGTCACCTCGGGCCAGCTCTCAGTCACAGAGGTGTACACAGACACACCTGTGCCCTTTCCCCATGCAGCAGCCAGTGGAACCCGACCTCCACCATGGAGAATGGGTTTCTTGTACTGGTCTCCAGCACCATGAGGAAGCAGGATGAGACACGCCAGAAAGGATCAAGGATAACCTGACTGTTCCTTTTTTGCACAGAAAGCCCATCAGCAGGAAATCGGATTAAATCTAGTTAGCTGCCAGAACCTCTGTCCTCTTGACACCTTACCTGCTTTCCAGAACTCTGCCTCTCAGCTTCTCAGAAGTCAGGGGTGGTAATCTTAATAAAAGGAGAAGTGGAAAAGCATACCCAGCGAGAGGTACCAATCCAGATATAAATTAAATTTTCTCCCCCGCCCCAAATCTTCATCAAAGGTTGTTCCTTCAGCTTTCCATGTCTCTATTTTGCACTTTGAAAGCTCCACCCAGTTTGAATATTCCTGTGGAAAGTTCTTGAGCCTGGGAGTTCTGTTTTCCAAAAAAGAAAATAGTAAACCATAGAGGTTTAGCCACTGAACATGTTAAACTGTAAGTTATGTTTCAAGCTGTGAAAAAAAATAAACTGTTTTAAAGGCTGAAATAAAACCTGAAAATAAAGCCCTGATCCTTTATTTGTGAGCCTAGCCCTGCAGAGAACTCAGAGGCCTGGAAGAGGTTTCTGTCAGCTGCAGACAAGCAAAACCCTCAGCAAGAGCCAGGGGTCTGGCAGAGTTTTAAATGACAGTGGAATTAATCACATTGATTCTAACCATAAACATTTTCCAGCAAGTCAGAAAAACACCATTATTCTCCCCTGCGTTATAACCAGACGACTAATTTGAAGCTCTTGCTTCCAGAATGTGACTTACAATTCAGTAGAGCCCTTCCTGCTTCTGGAAGGGGCCAAATCGAGGATGTGGCAGGTCTATCACCCAGTCAATGGTGCGTAGGACGCGGGACAAAACGTACATGCTCTGTGGACAGAACGTCCTGTCTGAAACTGTGATCTCGGAAACCCAGAAAGCGTGTGCGCTTCTCTCACTTCATGGTGTTCAGGTGGGCGAGGATTGCTGCAAGAGAACCTCGGTCTTGTGGAGTCCCTGCCGGACTTCATGCTCCGAGTTGAAATCGAACCACACACAGCTGAGGAGCCCAGACAGTGAGAGATAGGAAGGTTATCAGCATGTCTGGCTCAGTTCAGGGATGCAGAGACAAGGCCTGAGAGAGGATCGGGTTCAGAAAGGCTAGCTGTCACTATGGTTGTGATTAAAAAAAAAAAAAAAGTCTAAAAAAAAAAAAATAATAAAGGCTAGCTGTCTGTAATGAGGGCAGAGAAGAGGTGGCAGACTAGAATGCTAGGAGATGGAACCACAAGGAGCTGATGTGATGGAGTGAAACTGCAGGGCCCTTGGGTGAAGGAAAACCCTCTCTCCATCATCAGCCTTTATATATCCAGCTTGTTTCTTCTGCCCAGTTTCCAGGGAAGATCAGATGCTTCTAGTTTAATGAAAGATATGTCCTTGTGATTATGGGCAGTGTGTCTCTCCCCAGCTCAGCTTCTGATAAGGAACGGCGTGAATCTCCAGCACATGCGCCTGTCTGCACATCCATCAGCTGTGCCCACTGTAAGCTTTTCCAACCCTTGAGAACAGTTACTGCGTCCACTATTTATACTGCTTTTAATTAAAATAAACCTTTTATTGTAGTGCAGTGATAGCTTACAGTGAACGATATCAGATTTGTGATCTTGGAAGATTTAGCTTCGGGACCAGGTACCAGGCTTGATCACTCAAGAGCTTTCGTGTAGCAGAGTTTTATTAAAGTATAAAAAGGCACAGAGAAAGCTTCTGACATAAGACACCAGAAGGGGGATGGAGAGTGCCCCCCTCGCTAGTCTGAGCAAAGGAGTTATATACTTTTAGACTAGTTATTACAGTAAATCAAGAGTGTCTCAAGGTTGTTCAGATCTTACTAGACCCACTCCCATAATTTACATTCTGAGAGAACAGGATTAGAGGAAGGAGAAATTGCCCCCAAGCAGGATACGTTGTTGTTTAATCCTTAGTACAGACTTTAAACTGCGCTGTTTGTTGTGTAATCATCAGTTCTGTGACTAAGACTAAGGAATGTAGAGGGGAAAAAAAGATGTTTGTGCTTTCCTCCTCCTCGAGAATTCCAGACCCTGTGTCCCCCAGATCCCTCTCCTCCTCAAGGACTCCAGACTTCTTGTCAACCTGCCTAGGAATTGACTCTCTCAGTAGTTGATTTACAATGTGCGGTTAGTTTCAGGTGTACAACAAAGTGAATCTGTTATGTATCAGTTATATATATATATATACACATATAGTTGCTCTCTTTGCGACCCCATGGACTGCAGCCCGCCAGGCTCCTCTGTCCATGGGATTTCCCAGGCAAGAATACTGGAGCAGATTGCCGTTTCCTTCTCCAAGGGAGCTCTCTGACCCAGGGATTGAACTCTAGTCTCCTGCATTGGCAGGCAGTCTCACAGGTGAGTGTGTGTACGTGTGTGTGCGGGCGTGCACGCTTAGTCACTTCAGTCGTGTCTGACTTTGTGACCCCATGGACTGTAGCCCAACAGGCTCCTCTGTCCAAGGGATTCTCCAGGCAAGACTACTGGAGTGGGTTGCCATGCCCTCCTCCAGGGGATCTTCCCAACCCAGGTCTCCTGCACTGCAGGCAGATTCTTTACCATCTGAGCCACCAGGGAAGCCCATATACACATACACCCATTCTTTCTCAGATTCTTTTCCCATCTACGCTAGTACAGAAATTGATGAGCTCCCTGTGCCGTACAGTAGGTCCTCATTGGTAATTTATACGCAGTAGTGTGTATACTGGCATTTCCTGGTGGCTCGAACGGTAAAGCGTCTGCCTGCAATGCGGGAGTCCTGGGTTCGATCCCTAGGTTGGGAAGATCCCCTGGAGAAGGAAATGGCAACCCACTCCAGTACTCTCGCCTGGAGAATCCCATGGATGGAGGAGCCTGGTCCATCTCCTAATTTATCCCTTCCCTCTACATTTCCCCTTTGGTAACCATAAGTGTGAGATTTATGAGTCTGTTGCTGTTTAATAAACAAGTGCATTTGTGTAATTTTTGCAATTAGATTTCACTTGTAAGTGATATCTCCACTACCTTTTAAGCATTAGGTAGGTAGTTCACAAAGGAGATAAAGCCTTTAAAATTAAAATGATATTGAAGTCCATATATAAAGAAAAAATCAGTCCTACTCAATAAACTCGTGTATCCTTCTAGACCTGCTATATATGAACATATCTGTCTATATATACACATACTACAGTATGCATATTTCAACTATTTTCTCTTTAGGCAAGTGGAATTCTATTATACACATTACCTTACAACTTGCTTATTCTCCTTTAATCTTTCTTGGGCATTATTTCATGTCTCTACCTATTCCTAAATATTCTTACTGCCTCCACAATGCAATTTGTAGCATGGATACATTATAATTGTTTATTCACTTAAGAATTTTTATTTCAAGTGGTATATACAAAAATAATAGCTGGGGCAATCTATTATATGAGACTTGTTCCTTCTGCCGAGATGGCTTCCTCTTGTTAACGAAGGTGTTCAGCTATCACCTATGAATCGCTTCCTCTTAGGAGATTCAATTTTTTATAAGATTAAAAAAAAATTTTTGAAGTATAGTTGATTTACAATGCTGTGTTAGTTTTAAGTGTACATCAAAGTGAGTCAGTTATACACACACACACACATATTCTTTTTCAGATTCTTTCCCACAATAAATAGGGTATTACAAGAAATTAAATACAATTCCCTGTGCTATACAGCAAGTCCTTGTTGTTTACCTATTTCATATATGTTTGTGTTTGTTGTTTCTTTTTAATAAATAAGTTCATTTGTATCATATTTTAAAGTCCACATTTATGATACTTGTCTTTATTTCACTTAGTATTATCTTCAGCTCCTTCCATGTTGCTGCAAATGGCATGATTTCATTCTTTTTTTTATGACTGAGTAATACTCTGGTGTTTTACATGTGAGTGTCTTGATCTATTCACCTGTTGATGAACACTTAGTTTGCTTGCATGTCTTGGCTATTGTAAACAGTGCTGCAATGAACACTGAGGTGCAAGTGTCTTCAAATTATGATTTTCTTCAGATATATGTCCAGGAGTACAACTGCTGAATCTATTTTTAGTTTTTTAAAAAACCTCCCATACTGTTCCCTGTAATTTCCATTGGCTGCCCCAATTTACATTCTCATTAACAGCATAAGAGGCTTTTCTTTTCTGCACACTTTCCAGCATTAATTACTTGTAGACTTTTTGATGATGGCCATTCTGACTGGTGTGAGGTGATAACCTCATTCTAGTTTTGATTTGCATTTCTCTAATAATTAGTGATGGTGGGCATCTTTTCATGTGCCTGTTGGCCACTGGTACATTTTCTTTGAAGAAATTTATTTAGATCTTCTGCCTATATTTTGATCAGGTTGCCTGTCTTTTTTAAATGGTTTCTAATATTGGTGGGGTTTCTGTAAAATTTAGCAAAGATTGAGTGTTGGGAGAGACAGAAAGAGCACTACTAATGTAAAATCAAAGGATTTAGCTTCAGATTTGACCTTGTCAAGTGCACCCATAGGTCCTTTGATACAACAGACCAGTGGTTATTCAGGAAATTCTGTCCCTAATATGCTAAAAGTACTTTTCCCTCAGGTACCTCACAGTTTGAAAGGACTTTTTCTCACTAAAGTGAACTTATTAAATAATTGTTTTCTGTTTTTATTCAACAATGATATACAAATGCCAATTAGAATTCCTGGTCAGCATGAAATTATCAGGACTCTTCACTTTGATTTCATGGTGTTCTGGCAAAGAAATCTGATGGTGAAGTTAGAGGATAAATGTACGATTTCTATGGCTGGTTACCAAAGACCACAGCTCTCTCCTTGGGTCTCAAGGGAATCAGGATGGGACTATGTGTAGAGAAGGTTAAAAAAAGAGGTCATGAATCGAAGTGAGTGGAAAAAGAGCTCATGCCACTGGCCTCATCTTGGTGTATCACTAAGTCATCAGGAAGTTTTCCAGATTGTATGTTACTTTTCTACCTCAAACTTCTCCCTCATCTACCAGATTTCAGGCCAAGTATACCCTAAAACAGCTCAAAATCACTAAATCGGGAAAGGAAGACAGCATAACATGGAAGTTTCTCTGGTGCAGAAGCAAGGGAAGTCAGAACATCAGGAGGAGAAAAACTCCTCAGTCATTCAGTACAAACGAGTGCCTGCGTTTGGGACCCCTGTACCATACTTTTAGTCATTATTTCCAATGTTTACATTGGTCTCAGTTTTTCACTTTTACAGACTTCTTGAATGATCTTTAATGACCTTTGTGAAGTATGACTATAAACAAATTTCTGCAAGTGACCATGCAGATAGTTAACAGCAAACTTCAGGGCAAAAACCCAGCTCTGGTCACTGACTTTTGAGTACCACTTGAGTTACTGTGTGTTTTTTCCAGTAATCATTTATGGATGTGAGAGTTGGACTATAAAGAAAGCTGAGCGCTGAAGAATTGATGCTTTTGAACTGTGGTGTTGGAGAAGACTCTTGAGAGTCCCTTGGACTGCAAGAAGATCCAGCCAGTTCATCCTAAAGGAGATCAGTCCTGGGTGTTCATTGGGAGGACTGATGCTGAAGCTGAAACTCTAATACTTTGGCCACCTGAAAGAAGAGCTGACTCATTAGAAAAGACCCTTATGCTGGGAAAGATTGAGGGCAGGAGGAGAAAGGGACGGCAGAGGATGAGATGGTTGGATGGCATCACCAACTCGATGGACATGGGTTTGGGTGGACTCCAGGAGTTGGTGATGGACAGAGAGGCCTGGCATGCTGTGGTTCATGGGGTCGCAAAGAGTCAGACATGACTGAGCAAGTGAACTGAACTGAACTGTGTTACTGTGCTTGCTGCTTTGAAAACACAAGAGCTTTCTCTGTGGTGAACTGCTTTTCATTCCCATCCTAAAGTAAGATATAAAGAGAGCTGACTTTAGCTCCAAGTATTTGAGGCATCAACACAGAGCAGGAGTAGGAAAGTGAAAGTCAATAAAAGACCAAGGCAGAGGGTGTGAGGAGAGGTCAACCAGAGAGATGGGCTTTAACAATGGATATGGAAAAAATAAATCTTCCACCCACAAATGTGCTGTCTTTACCGTCTAGAAATTTTTCATACAGGACATGCTAAAATGCCTAAAACACCTTCTCCTACTGATGAATAAAATTAAAACTGGTTATCTGTACCATCTGACTTGTAATTGCTTTTGGGTGGCCTCGGCCTGCAATGGCTTGAAGCAGGGCCTGGGTTCCCGGCCAGAGATCGAAGCTGGGTTGCAGCAATGAAAGCACCTAACCTGGCCATTAGATCAGTGGTCAGTGACAAGGGCTCTGGCCCTGAGGCTTTGCAGAAAGGAATTTCCACAAAGAAAGTAGTGAAGCAAACGAAGTATGTATTAGGAGGAAAAAGAGTACAGTACTTGTGGATAGACACACGGGCAGACTCAAAGGGAGAGTCCCTGAGTTGTGCCCTCATGGCAGTTTAAATCACTTATATGAGGTATTTCTTACCATTTTCCCTTGGCCAATCATTTTGATTTGCCTCATTCACAGTCCCTATCTGGTATATCTCAGGATCCTTTTGTGTGTACACATGTCTTAGCCAAGATGGATCCTACCGCAAAGGCATTCAGGTAGAGCATCCCTTGACATTCTAACCCCCTTGGCTTGCAAGGAGCCTTTCGGTGCATGTGTGGTCTGGGGAAGTCTTCTGACTTCGTGAATGAGAAGTATGTGGTCGGGGCAGGGCCCAGCCTCCTCCGTTAATCGTCGAGCTGCTCTCATCTTGGGAGTTTTGGTCAATAGGGGATGAACCTCCAACTGCTTTACCCTAGCGGGGGAGGAGGGTCCACCTGCCTCCTGCCTCATACTTAGTTGGATTTTTACAGTTGCTTCATGTTTTACATTTGCACATCTCAAAGAGTTTAGTATCTATCACCAGCCATAACTAAGCCTTTGAACCAGCCATAACTAAGCCTTTGAACCACCCCTGCGGTTAGCAGAGGCACTCCTCCTTCCCATTTTATGTGCATGGAAACAGCTTCAGAGAGGATAACACTGGCAGGCACACAGCTAAGCAGAAGTAGAGCCAACGTTCCAAAACAGCTCTTTTGCCAACTGTTAAACACCTGGTGAGGGGCTAATTGGCTTTCTCCAACCTCTCCCCCCAAGGCCACAGCACATCCTTCCAACTGTGGGTAACTCAGGTTGAAACACTGCTGCCACAGCAACTGACCAGCCAGCCACTTTCCCATGCTTACCTTAGCTTCCATTCCTCTCAGTCAGGAAGTGACTGATCTCTGAACGTGCCTTAAAATAACGGGGCGAGGAGGGCCTTTGATTACCCCTGTCCATTCTGATGAAGTGTACGTAAGCGGGTGGTAATTATGCACGTATTCTCATCCGTTCTACTCCAAGACTGTCCTTTTACTGGTTTGTGACAAGATAACCATAGAAACAAAATAAAACATTCAAACATTTTTATATTTGACATTCAATTTATGTCCATTATAATAAAGAGGGGGCTTTCACTTTGTATCTTTTTAGGTTTGTCTAGTTAATTCTATTTTTAATAAACTCTCTCTATATATACTTGGCTGCACTAGGTTCTAGTTGGGGCTCACGGGCTTCTCTCCAGTTGCCGCACATGGTTTCTCTTGCTGTCACCGACGGGCTCTAGAGCACACGGGCTCAGCTGTGGCACACAGGCTCTGCAGTTGAGACACATGGGCTTAGCTGCCCCTAGGGATGTGGGATCTTAGTTCCCTGACCAGGGATTGAACCCACACCCCCTGAATGATTCTTAACCACTGGACCACCGGGGAAGTCCCTCCAGTAATTCACTTTACTGTATTTTACCAAAAGTATCAATCTGCAAAGGATGGAAATTTAAAAAAAAAAAAAAAAACTAGTCCTTTGCTGAAAGTTTGAGATTCACTGTTCTGCACTTTGAGCCTTCATAAAAGACTCCATATGTAAGCACATGCGTACACATTAGTTTACTGTAATTTACAAAGCAACTTTGGGGATACCATAACTTAGGAAGCACTGGAAATTTTTAAAATACTTGCAGATTAACATTAATCTTTTAATTTCCATGGATAGAAAGATGCAGAAGCTTAATCAGAGGAGGAAAAAAGCACACAAAAACACAAAAGTATTATGGTATTTCACGGCTTACAAGTTCCACTTACCTTTTAAAAGAGAAATACAAAGGATTTTTAAAGTTATTTCAGTAATAAATTATTAAGATACCCATCTTTTAAAAATTGAAAGCCTTCCTCATAAGGAAACTACAGATTACTTAGATTATTTATAGTGGCACCAAAAGGCCCATAAGCCCAAATTTCTTATTAAGGGAAGTTCTTCAGACACGTTTTTAGGGCTGGGGCACTATTTCTAAATTCACGTTATCTGTTCTTTGCAAAATGTATTCCATTAATCTATTAGTATTTTCCCTGGGAAAATGCAGAGACCTAGTGAAATAAGATGGAACAAATATTTAATCAGAAGAAGCAATCCAGTGTTGCTGGCTGAGGCTGGGGACTGCCAAGGTCAGGGTAAAGCAAGGCAAGTGATGTCATTCAAGGGGGAAAAAAAGACCAAGGAGATACCAAGGAGCTCTAAAAATACAATACTATCTGCCTTCTAAGCCTTCAGGTGGAGCTCTAAGGAATTTCTCAGCGGACTGAGACCCAGGCATGCGTAACAAAGACAATCAGAGGGAAAAGTACTTTATCCACTAACACAAGAGCTGGCTTTAATAGGTGTGGTGGGGAGGGCAGGACAGGCTCCACTGGTTGGAAAGTACTCATTGTGAGGGAATTCCTGTATGAAAGCTGGGTCTTAAGAGTGTTTAAATATTCTTAAGCAATAACAAACAATGTAATGATATGACATAATTCATTTAGGTTAAGAGTTCAGAGTGTCTGGAATTTTTAACTATAGTTTATTTGATGTCAACATCAAAGGGATATTCTAAAAAGCAAATGTCAATCCATGTTAGTAATATTTCAAGTCAACTGCATAAAAAAAGTACATCTCTCCATGTTTGTATACCCTATAACTGTACATAAAATTTTGCATTTTAAAGCACTTGTCACTTATAAAGTGAAAAGTTTCAAAATGCTAAGTAAACATTTGCTAATTATTACTTTTTAAAAACAATATTCCTTTAGAAGATTACTCTTCTTTGTGCTTATTGTTGATCTGCAAACATTCCTCAAAGTTTCTGGAAACTTCTTTGGGGGAAAAAAAATCTGGAAACTGGTCCAGAAAAAAAATCACTTCACAGTAGACAAGGACTAAGTGCAGACATAAGCAGCTCCATTTTATAAACAAAGTTTCGGCCTTCCATTTTATTCCACTGAACTTCTTTGAATGGCCCACGAAGATGATTCCATTTGCTATCTTGTAAAACATCACTTTTTGGAAGGTCTTTACACTGGTTACGGGGAAACTGAACCATAATCTTGCTGCCACTTTCAGGGCCATTACGAACTGTGGAGCAAAACCAAAATATCAATATATTCATTTTCCAAGCTAGAAACAACAAAGATCACACAACTTCACTTTCCACGAGCATAAAAATCCTGTTTGTCTACCAACTTGAAAGTGCTTATTTAAAAGTACTTTTCAGGTTCAATATGCTAAAATAAAATTTACTAATTTATAGATATTGTGTGTTTTTGTGTGTGTGCTCAGTAGTGTCTGACTCTGCAATCCCGTGGACTGTAGCCAGCCAGGCTCCTCTATCCATGTATAGTTTTCCAGACAAGAATACTGGAGTGGGTTGCCATTTCCTACTCCGGGGGATCTTCCCAACCCAAGGATCAAACTCAAGACTCCTGCATCGCCTGCACTGGCAGGCAGAGTCTTTACCACTGTGCCACCTGGAAAGCCCCTTATAGATACTAGGCTGGTATAAATATTTATGAATTAACGTTTGTAATATAAAAATGTGGCAAAGATGAGTGTTGGTTTAGGAAAATCAAATGTTCTATATATTTTTAGAACATCATCATTTTTTTTTTCTAAAATACTTGATAACCTAGTCATTTAACAACTTGGTTAATATACACCCACAATGTGATGAAAGTCAAACGTTCAAAATCAGAACTGGAAGGGATGGATGAAAGATTATTCTGAATATGAACTTCAGGTTTTAATGAGGCTTTATAACTTAGGCAAGAAGAAAGGGTATTTAGAAATTCTTATCAATAAAGGTCTCACAATGATCAAGCCTACAGATTCACAAGCTGTGATCCTATGGGGAAGAATCTCTAACTACCTACTCTTTCAAATATTTAGAGCAAGTATTAAAGAAGATCACACTGAAACGATATATAATTGTCAACAAGACAAAATGTATACACGCCTATCAAGGTGCCCCATTCATGGTAGGTGCTTCTCAAAACACCTCTGTTCTATCCCTTGACCATCTTTAGGATCAGATACTATTCTTCTTGCATGTTTGCAGCAGTATATTTATAAACTTAAAAAAAAAATTTTTGGCCCCATCATGCAGCATGTGGAGTCTTAGTTTCCTGACCAGGGACTGAACCTGGGTCCACAGCAGTGAAAGTGAGTCCTAACCACTGATCGATCACCAGGGAACTCCCCAGCAGTATATATTTTAAAAAGCATTTATCCATTGAAAGTTCTGAACTGCAGGAGTAATAATGCTGATGGCATTTTTCAGATAATCGCCTAGGAAAATGTGTTGCCAAGCAAAACATCTTTTATAACTACTATAAAAAGATGTAATAACCTGTTGCTCTGAATATTAGCTATGATGAGATAAACACTCAACATAATTAATAAAGGAACTCACCTACTACAGAGGTAGTTACTCTTAAGTATGGTAACTACTAAAGCTAAATGAAAAGGCCAAACTCCCAAAGGTCTCCTCACATTCAGAGCAGCAGAACGTACCTGAGATAGCATAGTCACCATTGGGGGAGGCCACGGTTATGGCGGAGGCATTGCCAATGCTCTCTACAGGCCCCAGTCCCACGTGATTACTGAAGCTCAGGACCTGCCAGCCCATAACCTTGGCTAGCTGCTGAACTGCGTGCACCTGATGCTGTGACATCTGTGAATGAAAAAGGAAACTTCACTGACAATCAGAACAGGTAATTTACTCGGCAGTGACTTGACATCATGACTGTAAAGTGAAATTTCATTGGGGATTTCACTGCCTAGCAAAGGAACCCTATCTTATGTTTGAGGAATTCTCCTCTGTGTGGGGCAAGGGAACAAGATCCCACCTTCCACTGCAGAAGCTAAAATAGCCTGATACTTGCTTTCCTGTACACTGGCAGCGGGAACAGAGCCCACAAGCTGAACTTGGCCAGCTGGAGCCTCTCACCTGGATCACTGAGTTTGAAGGAACAGTAAAACAGCAGCAGGGTGTGTGGCTGAGTATCTCCCACTGGTCCCATCAAGTCCACTCTCCACCCCACTTTGTTCTGGGAAGCTGTCACACTAACAGCTTTTTTATCGATCCTTAGTAAAGAAACAACCCTGAAACCACCCTGAAAGACCCTGACTGGTACACAGCAAGGAGGGTGGTGGTGCTGGGATGGCAGCAGCAGGGGCCCTGCCCTGCCTGTGGTTCTTATATCCAGCTTCCTTTGATCCTGAGCCATTCGCAAGCCTTATTCTCTAGAATTCTTAGCAATTCTGGAAGCTCTTTAACAGGCTTTCATTACACTTCTGCCATGTGTGCTCAAGCTAACTAAAGCTATTTTAGGTACAATCAATCAAGAGGTGCCATACCTCACAAATGCCCTTTAAATAAAGGCACTATAGAGGCAAATCAGTGTAATAGATTACTGCTTCTAAGATGGAGAGGGTCAGTATTTTTGTAAAAATTTATGTGAAATATAAATATATGTTTCATGTGAAAGATATATTAGCATTTCAAAAATCAACCCTTTATCCCAATAACTCAGTATTTCAATGGATCATCACAACTCCATGAAGAAGGTAGGAAAAATACTGTTCTTACTTTATAGATGAAAAAAAAAAAGGTCAAAAAATTTGTCCAATGTCACAAAGCAAGTCTGTGGTATAGCTGGGTACTAGAACTCAACATTTTCCATATTGTCCCTTACTATGAGGAACGCTGCCTTAGGGCTTACGCATAAAGTGTTCCATTCATCATTTTGGAGCATGGATACTATAGTTTTGTATTTGATCATCCTTTCTCTGGTTTTCTTTACTTTCTGATTAATACTTCACTTTCATGTGGTCCTAGAGGTGCTGTCAA